CTCCCAGGACTTTCTGTATTTTGCATTAAGCAGCTATACAGAGGCAAAGTGTTCTTGCTCTGAAAACATCATCCTTGTATGCTTCACTGAGAGCCTGCACACTCGTGCTCCTGTTTTCTTCCACTCCCACAGAACTGCTCTGGCTCTCCAAGAGCATTAACTGCAGGCAGCGTCCTATGTAGATCTGGATAGAGTTGAAAGCAGACTTGGCTTAAAGTCACCTGTATCCTGTGTGAGTGGTGACTAATCACTAAGCCTCTGCAGAGAAGATGAGCAGCAGGTGCTGCACAGGACATGGGCACCACCTGCCATGTACCCCAGCACGGGCAGCCTCCGGTCCTGCATGGGAAAAGGATTCCAACCATCAGTCAAGGGGCCAGGCCCAAGCTCCCAGTAGGGACAGGATTTCACACTCAGTTCTAGTGCCAGTAGCTGGCTTCAGCAGCTCTTCACTGAGGCTCTTAGCTCTCTCTATGGAGAGCATATGTCCAGCTGAAGTCCTGGATGCCCCACTCAGCCACCATGACACTTAGCTTTGCTGAGCCCAAGCCCTGACAACATACCTGGGTTATTCTGTGATGGAGGAAAGAAATTAAATTTGCCTTTCTAAACATAATTTTCTCCATTTTAGACAACTCATCTTTCCTCCTCCTTGCTTTGCCTTGTTTTCTCCCAGATTTATGATCCTACATTTCTCAAATCAATTTATGTTTTGTCTTTCCCTAACTACTTTTCACTTTCTCTGCATTATATTGCCCTGCCCCTTACTGCACTCCCAGCTACTCAGCTTAATGTAATTTCTAGATCTCACCTAAAATTCCATGTCAGATTTGACATGACTTGGCAACGAAGAAAATGAAGCTGACTGGGGCTTCTTTTGCAAATGATTCAACTCCAACTTTGGAAAACAGTGCACCTCTAAAATGAGTCTGGAAATAGCACAGTGCCAAAGGCCAGTCCTCCAGGAAGCAGTAGACAGCAGTCCCTACAAAACATTTCAAAGTGAGGGTGAGAAACAAAACCCAAGCCCCAAATACCTCTTCCCAGCAAAAACACTGCCAGTGGTGGTGAAGCAATGGAAAGGGCAGAACACTAATAACATACTTACTTGTGTCCTTGTCTGATTTCCACAAGGTGTTAGTTGGCAACATCATGTGGCTTCCACGAGAGCTGACAGATTGGTATTTTCCAAATTTTTCCAAATATTTTGTTTTTCTTCCTCTGTTATTCTAATGCCATTAGCAGGAACTACTAGCTACTTAAAAACCAGAAATAGCAATGTAGAATATTAATATAAAACAAAAAATGGATTTTTCCCTGGTGTATCAGAATAGGAAAGTTTATTTGCAGTCATATAAAATTAAATGTTGGCAGTTACAAAGATGGATGGTTTGAGTAGTCAAATGTAAGAGTTTTATTTATCATTCATAGTTGTACTGAAGAATGAGAGTAGGGAGCATTTTCTATTGCAAACCATTTGCTTTAAAGTGGGTTAGACAACAGGCTCAGTGACACACCATTTTAATTCTGCTATCCTAAAAAATCTTGGCAACATCTATCTATCTATCTATCTATCTATCTATCTATCTATCTATCTATCTATCTATCTATCTATCTATCTATCTATCTATCTATCTATCCATCTATCTATCTATCTAAATTCACACAGTTAATAGGCTGTGGAGGGACTTCAGGACACGTACCCCAGAGATTTCTGTCTTTTTCTGTGACCTTCCTGGCACGTGGAGGTGCACCCCAACTGTGCAGAGGTAATGGGGACAGGGAAAGAGTTTCAGAAGGGGCCAGAAGAGGGATTTCAACCAGCCTCCCCTTGATTTACAGCATCCTCACCTGAGGCCCATATTGTTACAGCATGCTGCTGTCCACCATGCTGTGGCCAAGCTGCCATCCACACCATGAAGCTGGTGGGATATGGTAGCCAAGAGACTGTAGGACTTCTCACTAGACTCTTGTCCCATCACATTCCTGGGTACAATGCTGGGCAGCTGCTGGGAGGCCATTTGGGAGTACCGGGTGCTCCATACACTGACCCTCCCTGGTTACCTACAGACACTTTTTGCAGTCTTGCAACCCTCACACCTCTTCCCTTTTTTTTTTTCAACCTGGGAGCTGGTTGTTTTCCCCTCCATTTTCCCTTTTTCTTCTGGTTCTTTGTCTGCATGAGAGAGCTGGATGGTTCTGTTAGAGCCAGTCCCTGGCTAAATGGAGAATGGTAAAATGACAGGTGTGCAGCCTTGCCATTGACTAAGAACAGAGGAAGATTGGGGCAGGACTGTGCCTCTCTCTTGGCATATGACACGTGTCTCTTGACATCTATCCTCTACTCACGTTGCAGTGCAGAATTCAAGAGTCACAGCACTGAGAGAAGCAGAAAATTGAAGGAAAAGGCAAAGAAGAATTTCTTACAATATTTTATTGCCTTGCATTGCAACCGTTTGAGTACTACTCACTGAGCATGCATTCCAGTCATTAGTGACATAAATAACAATAATTACTATTTTTAATTTCACTTTCTTGGCCTTACCTCAAAGTTATGTGTGTTATTCTTAGAATGAAAACTATTACAGCTGAACTTTGTTATCAGTGAGCATCTAAGAAATGGAAACTTCAAGCAGTATTGACATGTTCCAAAAAGCAGGCCCCAAGTTTATGAGCTACCTACATCACAACATAATCTTCTTCACTCTGCAGGAATCCTTGCTTTCTTACAAGATGTTGGTTTATGAAGGGTGTTCATAGACGTTCCTTAAAAAAGAATTATTTTTCTGAGTATTGAACATAGAAGCAGGTCCTTGGTGGATCTTAGTTTTGCTTCCATTTTTTAGGCTGTCAGTTTTAAAAGAAAGGGATGGAAAGCTCAGTTTCATTCTTCACATTACATGCAAAAGTTTTTAAATCTGTAATTGTGATTTGCCACTGTAAATTCAATGTTCTAGTGGATTACAGTAGAATAATATATTTCATCTGATTTCTTTTGCCTCAAAAAAATCAGCAGTACTGTACATATAATCATTTTAAGATGCAAAAGTTCAAAATAAATGAGGGACCTGAGGCAACATTTTTTCATATGAGAATGTATTTTCATGTCTCAAATGAGCTGATTCACAGCATAGCATATTTAGGCTACATGGCTGCTATCAGTGATATAGCTATCAGTGATATAGATGTCATATAATGTTTAGCCACAGGCTTGTCAGGGTTCTGGAAATAAATGCTGGGAGCTAAGCAACACTCACAATTTCGTGTTCTTGGTTTAAGACTCATCTGAGATCAGAAGTAATTATGAAAGAGCATGTCTTTATAATATTGTGATCACCCACCAGCCTAAACACCAAAACCTACAAAATGAGCTCCATATAACAGTCAGTGCATTTTCATGGTCAGTGCAGGAGCACACCTGAGCACTGCATTCAGTGCATCAGTGGGAGGAGACAAGACTTAGAGAGGGCTTTTTAAAGCGTGGTCAGCTGGCAAGGGGATTTCAGTCTCCATAAGACCACTACTCTAGTAATTACAAGAAACAGCAAACCTCAGAGGCTTTGTTTATTATTTGCAGAAGCAAACTGCAAAACCTCATGGAATTACAGCCACTATGCTTGTTCCAGAGTTCAGAAGAATCTGTTCAATGTTTTTGTAACTGAGAAAATTCCACTTTGAGCTTTCTAAAGGTAAGCCATTTCTCAGGGAGGATGATTTCTGGCACCTGGCAGCATAGTGGTAATGAGTGGGGCTGGAGATCTTGCAAAAAGGACTGCCAAGGAACAAGCTACACTGCAGCAAAACCCAAGAAAAGAGCTGCTGTAGGAAAGGCCAAAGTGGAAGATACAAACAAGGAAAGGTGTTCAGCATGTGGAAATTGATACTATTACAGATTAGTTTCTTGCCCATAATCTTTTATTCGGCTTATTTTACTCTTCGACAGGACTGAGGGAGATGCTAAAGGCTAGACACACAGAATTCAAGCTACCTGAAGTGAGACTTAGGCACACTTAATGCAACTTCATCCTGTTCCTTACATAAAGCTATAAGATACCATGGTTTGTAAAGTTAAGAGTTATTTACATTTTATTCTTTTACCTCTTTACATGCATCCAGTCTTGCCAGGCACTTCCAGCACCTCAGATATCATTAGGATCAATTTTCTCAGAAAACATGGCAGACACCACATGCAGGGAATGGGAGCAATGCCATCCTTTTGGTCACTACTGCTGCAATAGGACAATTAGTTAAAAATGTCTTACGCTGTCCTAATTCCTTTTCTCAGTCAGAAGACACAAACCCATACTTGATTAAGCCAGCCTTCTTTTTGGCTTGAGAGATGGTTCATCTCTCTTTTTGAAGCCATACTGAAACAGAGCAACAAAACGCAGGTCTCACTAGACCAGAAAGTGAGCACAGGTGCTAACCAGCTTGTCAAGGCTCTCACTGACAGGTAGAGGAGCAAAGAAGGATCTTCACCAGACCATGTGTCTACAATAAAGCATCTGCTGTAAAATGGTCGTCACTGCCTCTCTTCCCCTAATTTAAAGGGCAGCCTTGCTCTGTGCTTGTAAAAGATAAATGCTATTCCTGAATTTCCAGAGATGTTCAGGCTTGTAGAACCTCAGAGGATGTGAGACTTGTTACAGCCTTGAGTGAGATGTCTAAATGGTGGACTCATCCATTAAGCACATGGATTGCTTTGGATGACAGAGGTACTGTGGCACTTAAAAGTTCAGGCATTTGCTTCTGTGAGTCACTCAGACATACATTTCCAGGACACTAAGGCCTTTTTCTCCTGCTGATAAGCAAAACAACTGCTGCTCATCTAACTGAGCCTTCTGTAAACTAGATGCAAGTATTTTTTAATCTATTTAACATCTCAGCTGGGCACAAGAAGGTGCAACTTCTCTGCCTTGGGACAGCAAAGATATGAGGGATGTCTCCTCATTCCCGACACAGAGGACAGAAATATCACAGACTTGCATACAAGACAATTGTTTAATATGTTCACAAATCAATTTTATTAATTTAAAACAAAATTAATGAAGAAAAATTCTGTACACGATTGTGGACACAACACACTTTTTGTACAATAAGGCCCAGATAAACTTTGTCTTTTTTTCAGTCCACGAGTGACTAAAAATTGAAAAGAGCCAAAATAAAAAAAAAAAAAAAGAAGACAACCAACCCCCCCATCACTGTCTACTTTGCTTGAGGAAAAAAAAAGGCTAATTAAAGTCTCAATTCTAAAAACTACCCACGATGTGCTTTATGTACATATGTGAGTACTGCATGAGTTGCAACACTCATACTGGGCAAAGTAAAGCACGTGTGCAAGTCTTGGTAGGATAAAAACCTGTCTGTTGGTAATAAAGCAATCCACAGACTTTGAATTCTAGCAGCAACATGATTCCTCCAACAGAGAAGGGTGTTGATTTGTAGCTACATTGGTGCTTTGTAGCTTTGCAGGTAGCTGTTTTGAGGCTGGTGTTTTTTTGCAATACAAAACAAAAAGAAAAGCTGGAAAATGAACCAACAAAGCTGAGGCTTCTTTTTAATACGATATTTAAACTGGGCAAAGGGATTTCGTACAATTCAAGCCAAAAAGTCAGACTAACAGTTTATCTAACCAAGTAGCTCATAGCCTTCAAGATTAGAAAAGTCACAAGTCACAGACAGACACAGTCTAGGTTTGTCCTGTAAGTGAGTACAGACAAAAGCAAATTTTAACTCCTTGGCGATAACCATTTCAGCATTTCCATTGCCAGCAATGGATGTTATATCTTAGGAAAATCTGACTCCTGGTGGAAGAGGATTAAAAATCTTAAACGTATATGAGCATTCTTGTTCAATTTCTCCAAAATATTCTCATTTCTAATTTCTAAAAATATTGACGACGATATTTTCCTTCGTTTTTGGATGAGACAAAAACTATTTGATACCAAGATTCCAGTTTAAGTTACATCTCAAAATATATTTGTGTTCTTTCTCTATTTCTTTATGGAATGACTCTCCTAATTAATTTTTCAGTACTCTAAAAAAGGGTTAATATGTTAACTTTAAAAGAGGAAACAAAGACAGCAAAGGACTCCTCTTCAGTTGTGTTTTATCTGTATTTCCTTCGACGGGGGGGACACACAAAATCAGTCTTCTCATAATCAGAGTGAGTGAGAGAAGAAAAGGGTAGAGAAACAGCTGAGAACAAAACCCAATTCCTATTGACACTTGACATCCATGCTTTTGGTCTTGACAAATTTATCTAAAAAAAATCCATTATCTACATATTTATATCCAACACATTGATAAGGCATTGCACAAGTTTGTGCACAAGTGGCCTCATTCTTCACCAACAAGGCATTACTATCTTTCAATAGCATTTACCTTAACAATATGTAAAAGAATCATTCATTATTACAAATTTACACAAAAAAATTCTTCCTGTACATGATTGTCTCAGTGATGTACCTATTAGTTTAAATTAGACATATTTTAAACTACTCTGTAATGTGCTAAAATCAAAAGTAGTTGCTGTACCATAAGGCAAAGGCTTATAATAGCCTTTAATCCTATTATACATATCCTCAGTTATATGATGTCAAAATATAGTCTGTTCATAAATAAGTAAAGATGTACAGAGTACCCTGGGTATGAGAAACCAAAAAGTAAACCTTCTTTACAAGAAAATTACTCCACCGGTATTTTGCAAAATCTCAGTCTTCATTGTGCAATCAAGTTTGCTGTGTTGAAGAAATGGTGTGTGTCACATTGAAGAGACTACAAACTACAAAGCATTTGCAGGTCCTTTTTTTTTCTTCACAGGTATGAACCTTTTCTTTCCTTTCCTTTCCTTTTTTTTTTTTTCTTTTTTCTTCTCTATGTCTTTTTGGTAGCAATATGGTAAAGGTGAGTTGTTCAAACACTCGCATGGCTTATTTTCATTGGACTCACAGTACCAGAGCCAACAGCTGTTCTGAAGAAAAAGACATGCTCCTCCGTTTACTGAAAGGGCAAGGGTTAAGACCAATTGCAGCTGTACGTCAACATGTTGAAATCACAAAGTTCTGTAGTCCAATGCTGACACAAGACACAGGCATCCCATCCACAGGCAGAAGGAGGCTCTGAGGTTTGAAAGTGCTGCTGAGCTGCTACAAGTACTCCAGTTCCAAGGCATGGTGAAGGGCCATAAGGTCAGAGTGGCTCGAAATCCTCCAAAATGGCATAGCATGCTGTGAACAGCACAGACAACATGTAAAAATAACTCCAAGCATTTTGGTATTTAGACCCACCCATTGTCTTTCACAAGGATAAGAGAACAGTTCAGGGAGAGGAAAAGAGCTCCTAAAACCTTGAGTCCTTCATGTTTATCTCTGGTTTCTTGGACCCACCCCCTAAGCATAAATTCTTAATAATAACAAATCTATTTCCAATAGGAATTACAGCAATCATGTCAGGAAATCATAAGGAAGGGAGGGGCCTCCAATCTCTTTATATGAAAAACAAATTTCAGCACACTGCAGAAGAAAATATTACTTCTGGAAAAAAAAAAAGAAAAATAACATATACATGATGTATGTGAGTTGTTTGAAGAAGGGGACAGAACTTGATTTAAAAAAAAAGGAAGCAAAAGTATTACTTACTATAAAAATGTGTTTGCTGCTTGTGGAACTACCACTGGCAGGTGAGTTAAAAACAGAGAAATGGTGATTCAAAATAACTCATGTTGCTCACATAATTTTGAAAAGAATTTTATCCCAGAGGTTTGTGTAACCTTGTTCATTGTTTGCACTGATCTTAAAACACCTTTTCCATATGGGACATTAAAATAAAAACATATTTTTTTCCTTTTAGTTGTAATAAAATCTGTCTGGAGCACAAATACTCTTGCAAAGAGCCTGAATAAACCAAAAGCACAAACACCAGGAAGAAGCACAGATTGCCTCATCCAGGAAAGGCAAAAATCTGATTAAGAACTATCTTTATACTCTAAACCAGGGATTATAGCATCAACAAGAACTTTTGCATAAATTAAAAAAAAAAAAGATAACCATCAGCTTTTGTCAGGAAAATATCCTATAAATCCCATGGGAAAATAGTTTCAATTCGACAATATTCTGAAGGCTAACATGATCTTGTTCACCTTTTCACAAGGTCAGCTTGTGTCCTGGCATCTTAAGGAGGCAAACCACAATCCATTTATTATCACAATAGCTTCTAAGTTTCCCAGGCATTTTATCTACAACTTCTCAAAGAGGCTTTCTTCAATCTACTTCAGCACCTTCTGAGGAAATTCCTAATCCAGTGAAATCAGTGGCAAAACTCCATCTCCTCTGTCACTTCTACACTGACCTCTTTTTTTCATTCAGGTCTTCCCAGATTTTAAGTTAGAGAATAATTTTGAAAACAGTGTTAAATGCTCTGTTTCCAGCTGCATGTTTACTGCAAGCCCTGTAATTTTTACACCTATCTCGGAAGGCAAACACCTTAACACAGGGCCTATCACAAATTTGTCTTAAGAAGCTCAGGTGAACTTCTGTCTATCAGTGTATAAATAATTATTTTTAGAAGAATGCTGCTTCAATCCAGATAATGATGTGATAATTAATTGGGTTGAATTTATAAAATAGAGATTTTTAAAAGGAACATAATTGCCTCGGTACTGGCAAGTCTCTTTGATGTCAAATGGCAACTGTTAAAAGAACAATCAACTGTTGCTCTGGCAAGAGCCAGAGAAAATAATACTGAAGTAATTAATATTAACGAGCAAGACTAAAGAGCCGTACATGATCAGCAAGAGAGCACTCTAAGGAACCTGGAAAATGTGCACCCAGTGCAGAACAAGCATTAGCTTGTACAGTTGGACAATTAGAGGGACTGGAGAGTGAAGGAGGTGGCATTGAGAACCCAGTGCCCATGTTTTAGGGTTTTCACTTCAGGTTAGTTCCAGTCTGCCATCACAGAAAAAGTGCCCATTAGTAGTTGGAGAGCATTTGCTGAGGACCTGGACAATACAATGTTCTTTAGTCCCATACAAAAAATCTGGGTTTTGGTGGATTTTTTTCCCCCCTAAACCCAGTCTGTGATGTTAACCAAAGCATAGTGAGGGGGAATGACTGAAAGGTCTGCTTTGATGTGACACCTGATCTGAATGAAGACGTAATATGGATGCATCAACCCGTGCCTATATTCAGAGTAGGCCTAGCTTCTAGAGCAAAGAAGTATCTTAAGGAACAAAACCAAATGACACCAAAACACTTTTACAGATAAATCCTTTCTTTAAGCAGGAAGTGTTAAACACTATGACACCTGCTTTTTCTACATCTTCAGTCTAGACTTCCATTGTATGTCTCTATGCTCCACCAGCAACAGAAACTAGATGCAATTAGCTCACTCAGTTACAACTCCACATCCCTGTCACATCACACAGACAGCCCATCCTCTGCATTCTGTCAGGCCAGACACTGCTTCTTTCCAAGTCAAATCTTTCCTAAGATTAATTTCTTACCTATGTTCAGTAAATGAACCAGCAAGAGCAAAACAAAATAAAGATTACTAATCATGCCATTCTCTGGAGTTTGCAAAAGCTTCTGTCCACTTATCTCTTACTTGGGCTGCAAGATCTTGGCAAATTTTTTTCTCTCTCATAGGGGTACTCCATCAAGGACAAAGGATCACAGGTTTGCGTTTGCAGCAGGTCCGTGCCGTATTTGCCAGCTGACTGCACGGGTAGGCAATGCTCAGCAGTGCTGCCTCCTTTTCTTGTGAGGTTGCAGCTTCCCTCTTGTCTCACAAACCTTGTGCAGGTAAGACCCATCTGCTCTCCCTGACAGCCAGCCATAGCTCCCTGCTCCTCAGTCAGCTCAGCACCAGCTCTGCCTCAACCAGTGGGTCAGGGAGGTGTAAATAGCATACCTATGTTGTGGTGTGGCAAAGAGTTCAGTGTGACACTGCCTTTGCCTGGTGTCTCTGCAGAACCCAAGAGTCGATGACACGAACGCCCTCCAAGGTCATACAGCAAACCAATGAACAGGGAGAATTGTAGTAATAAATTCTTGGCTTCCGGCTCCCACTTCATGCAGCTCCAGAATTATACTGCTTCCCTAGTAACAGTCTCAGCATCACAGAGTGTACACACACCAGGCAGCTAGAGCAGTTAAAGGCTCTGATTGATTTAACAGAAGGTTTAGCTTCTGCTAAATCAAATTACAGCAACTCTTGCTAGATGCCCTTGTGCAATATCAAGTTTTGGATTACCCTGTTTATGGGTCAGCTGTTGATGGTCAGATTTTAGACCAACAGTGCTAGTGGTCATTACTTTCACTATTATCTCTGTATTTCAAATTCAATTAAGTGTCCTCTGTTTTCTTTCTGCCTTTTTGTGAAAGGAGTATACCTCTATTTACTCCATGTAGTCACAGGAGTGAAGTGTGAAATAATACTAGAGAGTCCTGTGAAAAAAGGGGCTGTGTAAAACTCGGGATTATAATTATTTTCAGTTCTCCTGCATATAGGCCAGAAGACCAGCCTCACACCCCAAGGAATAAAGCATGCCAGGACCATGGTGGCTGCATGGGGCTGGAATGTGCACACTCTCTGCACAGCCAAACGTGGCCAATCCACATTTCTATCAGTCTGACCCTAGAGCACAGCCTTCATGGCTATGAGGAGGGAAAACAAACCTGATACACATCTATATAGATTGATATGTTTGTGTATATATAGTCTCACGCACATATGTTCCTAAACACACATGTGTTTTCATGAGGCATGTACACTAATTCTCACCTTATCTAAGATAATAAATGATTTATAACATGAAACAAAGTAACAAAAATTATCATACAAAACAGTATGTATTATTCCTGTATTAGCATGCCCTGTTTATTCACAATTATTCAGCCATGATGAAAGTGGCAACACACCCAGGAGACAGACGTGCATTTTTTCTTACCAAATGTCTGGGCAAGAGATCCTTTGTATATATACTTAGTAAATATTGCCATTAAAAAGCCATTTCTGCTGACACTTAGCACATGTCATGTAGAACATGTGTCTTCTAAGCAAACTGAGAAATGATAATATCTCATTAGCTGTTGTGGGAGAACAGATTAAAAATGCTAACCACTAATAAATAGGTGGTGAAACTGGATGCATTAGTATGTAATGAAACTGTAAGGCAGCTTTTCTTATTGCATATTGGAAGAATAGCCATCTAGACTCATAGTAAAACAATGATTTTATGTACTATTTCAGTATCTTCCAAGTAAATATGAATCTTTTGTCTTTTAAAAAACATAAATTGTTTTGTAGCTGATACTTAGTAATAAAACATTTATGATTTTTTTTATCATTAAATTTTGATGACATTTTGAAATTAAATATGGTGGCAAAAGTTTCAATTTGGTTTTGATGTAAAAAGTATGAAAAGTGAAATTATTAATTTAGCAAACCTAATAATTATAAAATTATTAAATAATGTAGAACACTAAGTTATTTTATTTCTGAAATAGAAGTAGTATTATTTTCCAGCATGTACCTACTGAAAGAACAAAATTACAACTATTTTGCTTCACGAAGTGAAGTGTTTCTATTAATGCACATACAAAAAAAATCCTGTTTTTGACAGCAACACCAAAAAGTGCACACTATCTTCCTTCCCCCAAATGAATACATATTTATACAAAAACCTTACTCCTGAGATTTGTGATGGATTTGAATAGAAAACTCATCAGTTTTTGTCATTTTTCACAGTATTTTTGTTGTATTCCTGCCAGATTTGCTAAGCGGCTGTCTTTATTTCCTACCCCAAACCCGACTAGCACAGTGTGACTGTGAGCTTAAAAGCAGTGGCATATTGGATACCCATTTATATTCTATTTATTGCTCCACAAAGATTTATGATTTTTCCTCATGATTTCCCTCTGAGGCAGTATGACCATTCCGGAGACAAAGGGAGAAGCCCAGTTGCTCAGGCTCTCCCGAACCACCTGATGTAAAATCCAGCTCCTCAGTGCAGAGAGCCTCCTCCTTTGTCTCTTCTTACAAATTTGAAGTCCTTAGGAGGATTCTCCTAAGTAGAAAAACTCAGGAGCTGTTTTTTTTTTCCGCCTTACAAGTCTTTTCCCTTACATGTCTCCAAAAGCAAAGTCAAAAGATGAGCTCAAACAAAACAAAACACAACAAAACCAAACCAAACCAAACCCTCCACAAACAAAGCACAAAGCAAAGCCAAGACAATGGAGTCTCTGGCAGAAAACCCTAGAAACTTATTCTGCAAATAGCTGTGTCATTGCAGTCGGCTCTGATCCACAAGGCACCTGCACTGGTGCCAGCACCTCCCGAGCACCCCTTGGCTCTCACACTGATTTCTCTCTGCCTTCCTCTCCCTCCTTTCCTGGGAAAGCTGATAGGAAGGTAGCAACCTTCACACGAACCCTGGTGTTAGAGCCAGGCTGGCTGGTTGCTGCACTGATCCAGAAGGGTATGATTAGTCCTCAATCTGCAATGCAAGCGTCCTGAGAATTTTAATTGTCTCATAAAATATTTTGTTGGAAGTGACAGCTAAACAAAGGTGTTGATACCAGGGCTTGACCAGTGCTACCAGAAATGAAAGAGTGTGCAGTTTTCTCAGTGTATTGTATTTACTTATATCAATCAAAAGAGGCATTTTACGAACAAACAGTTTATCCTAAAAATGTTTCTCAAAAGAGCAATTATCTTTTAAATGGTAATAAAAGTTATAATTACTGAATTTTTATGAAAATGACAATAATAAAAAAATCTTAAATGTGTCCTTTATTTTTCCTATTGTTGTATTGATTCAGAATTTTCTGTAAATGAAGGACATAAATGAAAATCTTGTTTTATGAAGCAATTCATAAATTACTGGTAAATTATTTTTAATAACATACTTTAACTTTCTTACCTCCTAAGATGGAAGTTTATCTTTTTTTTTCACTAAATGAACTCGGAATTAAAAAATCTCTCAAATTAAATAGGTTTGAATTCATATGCTCACTTTAAAAGACTGGAAAAGATATTATAGTTTTTTACATGTAAGCAAAGAAGTGCTATTTAACAAACGGTGTACTGTTTACACTCTAAGTAGTGTAAAGAAACATACAAACAGCTTCACTACAGGCCAAACCCCTCCAGCAAACTGCTGTGCAAAGGGGTAACAGAAAACTTGTCCCTGGCTTGAGAATACCACAAAACCCAACGCGCTGATAGGAAGGCAGGAAGGAACCAGCTACCAAGGTTCAGGGGATAAGCACCATAATGGGGTACATCACAGGACAGTTATGGCACTTTGGATTGATGTGCTTTGGGTGACTTTGTGGAGGTAAAGCTTCTGTTTTGTTTGCATGCTTTCCAGAGAAGGTCTAGGCTTTTACTGTTTTCTCATATAGTAATACTATTTATTCCTTAGACAGGGCACACGTCTTTAACCTGAAGCACAGTACACACTAGGGTGCATGCCCATGCTTGCTCCTCCTAGTAACCCTAAAAAAAACCTGAGGAGCAGATAACCACAAAGACATCATCTGAGTTGGAAGCAGCTCCTCATACCACAAGGCATTGGGTGGTTTCCGCTCTTGCAGGATGAGAGGGCCAAAATTTAAGAGGCAAATCCTGCTTCCATAGTGTGAAATGATGATTTCTTTTTTGGTGGAGTAAGAAGCAGGACAAGAATCACAGAAGCATTTTCCTTTATCAAATTAGTAGTTTCTGCAGAAAGGCAGGGCTGCTGGTCTACTTATTGACTTCTCTGGCATTCTGCAGCAGATAATTTAATCCAGAGCATCTAACATGCTTTCAACCTGAAAATTCCTTCCTCCAAAAAAGAATACACAGAAGTAATGGCACAAAGGAACTTTCTATACTGCTACTCCCCTTAGCGACTGGAAAGGCTTTTTCTTATGCTTTTCTGAATCATGTTTCCTGTTGAAAAAAGCACTGAAATAGATAATGTTACCGAAAGGACTACTCCTGCCATTATCACATACAACACTACTTCACTGAGCAACAGAAAAGGAACAAAGGGAAGGAATTCTTTCCCCCCCCCCCCCGATCTTAAATACAGCTTTTAAAATGTAATCATTTACTGCGGGAAAACATTTCTCCGCAAAGATGAAAGGCATTTCTGAAGAAGAAAGGAGAAAACTGTTCCCGCCAGTCCGCCAAAGGGATATATGAAACTGAGGCTCAGCAAAGTGGTGGGCTGAGCCAGGAACCTACCCACAAGGCTTAAGGGGCACAAAAACCAGATTTCATGAAGCAAAACCAGTCAATGGTTGTTAAAACACCATGTGGACTAATTAATTTCACTTCTCCAAGAGATACAGAAGTATCACAGAGAGTTTTGTGGTAAAAAAGCAGCTGTGTAAAAGGAAAAGAGAACAGAAATGCCCCTTTTCCTACTCTTTCTCCTGTTATTTAAATAGCCAATATTGTACCTCATTTCTCCAAGTGAAGAGTCTGTATCTGCTGCACTTGGGTGTAACAGCAAGGCTAAAAATAATGCCTTTTATTTGTTAGTGGAAAGTGTTGCTTTTTATGGAGCTTAATCCACATTGGGGGAAAAAAATGGAAATTTTTCCCTTCTTCCCAGAGGAAAGCAAAAAATAATAAAGATAGTCACAGAGTAATCTCTGCACAGTTATCTGAGGTTATGAATGTATGCCAAGCCACAGGCAGTTGCCTGAACGCAGAATCCAAATTATGGACACATGAGAAAATGGAAATTTCTGTATACCTACTCCAATCCTACATACCTTTTCAAGGTTTAACATATACATATTTCATACAGTCAAATAGCATGCTGCCTTTGATCAGTAAGAATTGCCATTTTTTGCTTACATTCATAACATCCTATGTGGTATTTTGGGTTGCCAGTGAAAACAGAACTATTAATTCTTGGCACAAAAGCCAGGGTCCATTTTCTGGCCCCTTTTTGAAACACATCAAACGTATATAGCTAGCTTCATGTATCTTTTGGAGAACAGCAGGACACATCATTATCTACAGTTTTATGCAGCTTACTACTAGATATGGTGAAAACATATTTCATAAGGCAAAAACACCAAGTCTAAATGTCACTGTCCCATGTTGAGGAAAAGACAATTTTGCTTTCAGATTCTTGAAAGTAACCTGCACTGAAAAAAGGTCATTACCTTTTTTGCACCTTGTTCTTCTTCGACACCATCCCCTATAACAACGTACACTACTTTCCTTCCAAATCTTTGAATTATTCGCTCAAAACAGCTTTCCTTTCCTGAAAGAAAAAGATCAGAATATTCAGGGTAGGTGGTGATGGGGTGATATCAAATAAATAACTTTTTAGCCCGGATGTCCCCAACACTTTGAATACACAAGTAGAACTATTGGGAGGGAAGAGCTTCTCCCACAGGATGATGTATCAAGGCTGATTGCAGCTTTACTGCTGCCACAGTAGCTGACAGGAAACCCAAAAATCTACACCATGAGGTCCTTCAGCACAACTGCTGTGGTAGACATAGCATACTAGAGGGCTGCAATATCATCTTTCTTTTCTCATTCCCTAATCTGAGACAGGTTTTGTGGGGATTTTCCCTACTAGGAGAATTCTCTACCATTTGTTTATGGCCAGTAGCCTGAATCGAGCAAATTGATTGCATCTGAGTTGAAATTCTACCTTTTTCTCCAAAACCTGTGACAAGATTAATCACAGCTCCTAAAACAGTAGTATCCTGACTCAGAAGGTCACCCAAAAGATTTAGATTTAAATGCCTGTAATCCAATACATGGGCAAGGTCCTTGATACTTCACTGGGATCCATTAACATGGCTCATTCCTTCACTGCACAGACCTAGTGATATGATCTTAGTGGTCCAGTCCTATGCATAAGTACCACAGAATCATACAATGTTAAGGCTTGAAAGGGACCTTAAAGGTCATCTAGTCCCAACCCACCCTGCCATGGACAGGGACACCTCCCACTAGACCACGTTGTCCAAGGCCTTATGCAACATGGCCTTCAACACCTCTCCAGGCATGAGGCACCCACAACCTCCCTAGGCAACCTCTTCCAGGGTCTTATCACCCTCAACGTAAAGAATTTCTTCCTAATAGCTAACCTAAATTTCCTATTTTTCAATTTTTACCTATATTGTAAAGGTTCGGGTACTGGTACTGAGAAACTAGAAAAAAAGGAAATGCTTACAGCTGATCTTTTTCAAATGTGCCCATTCTGAAAGGTCACTTGAGTCTGGTCATGCTACATACTTACCTGTGTGCCTGCAGCAATGGATGGGAAAAATTGTGTTTTTAAAAATAGTTATTTCAAGAAAAAATAGCTTGGAAATTGAAAGAAGCTTTCTGGCCAGCAGAGAGGCCTAAACACTCAATGATATCCTTTAACAGTAGTGCCAGGCATAAGAAACCTCCAAGACTAAGTTGAAACAATGCTTGAATATTATTAATTGTGTCATATCACAAAAATCTCATGATTTCCTGTGACAGTGACTGAACACATTTTTCCAAAAATACTCTTTTGTCCTGTGTACATGAAGTTACAAGTGAATATTTATTAAAATATATTTTAATTAAAATGTATATTTAAAGTATTATAATTCAAAGTTTTAATTTACTATAAAGTTTTGACAGATGACACTGTTACTTTTATATCCAGCAAATAGTTTTAAATTTTTTACGGCAGTGCTTTCACAAGTCTTTGTAAAACTGTGAACCAATTTTTGTTTGTTTTGTTTTTTTGGTTTTTTTTTTTTTTAAAAACAACAACAAAACATACAACAAAATATGCCACAATTTTTCCTTGGCCATTTGAGCTTCCTGTATTATGGATATTTAAGAACACATGAAAAATGTTTTCTTGTAGCCCACAATTTTGAGCGAATCTGAGACAGAACAGACACATCATAATCACATTAAAAACTACAAGCACTGTTGCCATCTGGTCTGATGCACTTCTACATACTCAGAATGACATCTTTTATACTGAACCAGAAAACAGAAATAAACATTTGCCTGGCTGAAGTTTACTAAAGTCAGTATGAGGGAATTTAAATAATTACATTCTGCAGCAAAACATTCTTGCTTCTGGTAAATTGTTTACCAAAATTTGCTCCAGAGCCCACGAAAACAAATGAAGCCAGGGCTTACCTTTACAGAATATCTTCTGCTACTCTGGGGACACTCCAGGGTTCTGTTCTTACAGCCTACTAAAAAGCCTTTTCAACTGCTACACAGCCCCACAGTTTTGAGAAATGATGAGAAAAAGTAATTATATTTCTTCCTAACAGAGGTTGCATCAGTGTTAATAGAACTGTATAAAGCTTTCTGTGCTGGATCATGACAAACATTTGAAACACACTTTTAGGATGCTTTAGCATGAAGTGTTTCATGACATCAACTATTACTAATCTCTCTATTTTCTACAGTGAAAGCATGTCAGAATTAAACACAGACCACAATTCCTCTATTCTTTTTTAGAATTACAGCTTTAAATGTATCACAACATGATAAAAATAGCTCACCTATTTTAGTTGCACTGTAAATATTCTCTATGGGAAATACAACTCCTAGTCCATACAATAAGACTTTTGCCAGAGCTGGAATTAGCTGAGTAGTTGTCACAAGAATGTTCACACAGTTTGTCCTATGGAAGAAAAAATGCAAACACCCTTTTTTAACAAAGCAAAACATAAAAAACCAAAAGCAGGAGAACCTTAACCCTCCCATCAGAACCCCTCATTATTATTGCCACTTAAAAAGAATGGGTTTTTTACCACTTTCCAGGAGGGTAAGATAGAGTGGCATAGTCAGACCAAAAAAGGAATGACAATAAGGTCCTCCAGGTTCAGCATTTTGCCCACCAGACCAGGCAGTCTCTTCTAGATCATCAGCAGACACCCTAGAGATTCCTTGGTACTCTTCGTACTCACCTCGAATGAATGAGGGTGAGTGCTTTCAGTGCAAGTGTTAACCAAGAATCTGTCAAAGCTTCGATTTCTGCTCTTAGTTGTAACCAAGCCTCTCTTTTTGCTGGACCAAGAAGACCTGTGGAGTAGATAAGGGCATGTCTGCACTGATATTAATTAATTCTCTGTCATTTTCCTTCCCTTTCGTGAGCTCAGAGACAATTTTCTACACACTGCAAAATAAACAGCTCACTAAACTCTATTAGGTTAAAAAAGGGACAGAAACCAGTTCTTCCCATTTACTACTTCTAATCAATATTTGTTCGACACTCCAGAGTCACTTGCCTCCAACATTATTTTTGTAGGTGTTATATATTTCTTTTACTCGTCTGTAGCGGAAGGCCAGTTTCCGCATCCAGTCCACTCCTCCGCGCACCCCTGTCGCAAGGCACAAATTTGCGCTGGTGGCAGCCGCGGGAAAGCCATCTGTTCCGAAGTTATAGGTGCTAGTCAGACATAAGAAAACCCCTAGATTAATAAAAGGCAACAGGCTACATTGAACCACCAGCTACTCATTTTGCTGGGTTGCAAAGAAGGAGGCAGTAAAAAGAGTGCAGGCTACTGTAAGCATTCCAGCAGCCCATCACTTTCCCGGGAAGGGATTTGCAAAGCAACTTTTTATCTTAATGAATTCTCTTGTACCTTAAATCTTGACCGTTGTCATCTGAAGACACGTCATCAATGTGAACCTGGTCGCATTCCTAAGGTGACAGAAAGACTTTATAATTTTCTTGATCTCGCAAATCTTGAAAACAAAGCTATAAAAAAACCCCTATGAACAATTTACTTATCAGGAATATTTTTAATTGTGGAAATCAGTAGATGGCAGTCTTGTTAAAACAACTGTTTTACCTATTTCCTTGTGCTCATTTCTTAAAATAAATGCACACCGTCATTAGCTACTACTGTTAAATGGCTTTCCAGAAACACATTTTTGTGTTTAGAAAGGAAAGTGGTTAAAAACAATTAGCATATGTGTTCCATAAACGTTCTTGTAGCCTTTCAGGTACCTTAAAACATCATGCTGCTCAAAGCTGATTCAGTCAGTGCATAAGTGTAACTGAAACCAGACATTTTGGTAAATGTAACATATTAGAAAAATTAAACCTGATGCTAACCGCCAATGAAATTATGACCTCTGATTGCTGTTGAGCCACACACCAACACAGCCTGAGGCCAGTGTTTCAGAGGAGCGCAGATGAAAAATCTGTTCCTAGTTTGCCATTCATTTGAGAGTTGTGAGTTTCCTCCTCTCTCTTTGGTCTTAGTGCATGAAAGCAGCATGCCAAAATGAAGAAAATCTGAACAGAAATAGCCGAATCAAACCATCTTTCTTCAGTAACTTGTATGCAAACTACCACGGCACATTCAAAATTAGCTTTGTCCATCTCTAAATTAAACCTGGTAATGCGTATTGTTTATCTACAAAAAACCGAAACCGCTGGAACATTACTTTTAATGTTTTAGCTTTTGGCAGGAAAACAAATAAACCTCTGACACTCTAGATCAATATCATTTCAATGCTTGTAATAATAACAGATTTCAATTATTTTAATAATTTCCTCTTCTCTCTCCTAATGTGAAGTCCTATAACAAACACGATCTCTTTTAAAGATGAAAATACTGCAATTCTTTATTTTTGTGTTGCCTTCCTCTGAACAAATTTTTCTCTCTCCATGGATTTGTGAGGAAGGGAGGAAAGATAGAAGTGGAAAGAAACTCAAACCAGCTGTTCCCTAACAGAATTAAAATCATGACCCTCAACCCTTTTTCTAAAACATCTATTTTCCAGCCAACCCTCTCCCAGCAAGCAGCAAGCTCCAAGGAGGAAAAGACTTTGACCCTGTAACCTTCTCCTCCTCTCCTGAGGTCAACAACCTCAGATAAGAAAAAAGCTGAAGGAGCCTATTTGGTCTCACATGGTGGCTGTGGATTCTAGATTTTTATAAAGTAATACCTCAGAAACTAAAAATGCTTTGAAGAACAAGGTGTGGTCTTTTGCACTTTTACAACATATACTAATTCATACTGTAATGCATACTGTTTCCTATCTTATACATAAGTAGCTTGTGCTAGAGAGAGAGGTAGGAGTGACAACCAGAACAGGAGAGACAATACTACATTTGCTCATATTTAACCAACATCCAGTGACTTTACTCCTCAGACAGATGAAACTGCAAGTGTGAACATATGTTGCCAGGCTTTGAAAATCAACTTGGCTAAAAAAAGAGCCAGAAGCTTCTTCAAGAGGTTATCAAATTCACAGAAATTATTGTTATTATTTTGCTGTTTAAAACTGAAAGCAAATGTCCATCCAAATGCATACGAAGTTAACAATTCAAATATGAACTGAGTGTAAGCTAAAGAAAGGACACCCTCCTGAATTCATTCTAATTACTCTTCAACTTCTCAGTGACTTCTCCTTCCCCAGCTTGGAAACTGTGAATGACAACTGGAACGAGCTGCTGGAGAAGAAGACTCAAAATAGAAATCTGGGAAAAAGGAACAAGTTTTATTAGTAATGACAAAACTAAAGGAAGGAGTAGAAGCTCATCTTCTCACAGGAGCAGATGAAAGAAGGAATAACTCAACAAACTTCCAAATTGAACACTCTCAGGCAAAAGACAAAGACAGGAAGAATGGGACCACTACATCTTAGATCCCATAGTTAGAGAGAACCCGGAGACTTGGAACCTCAATTTGCAATTTGAGGTCTTGGGACCATGACAAGCCCTTGGACATGACAGGCATTCTCCTCTCCTGTCTAACCATCTGCTTGGTAGGTAGAAAGTGAGAACTGAAGTGATACATTAGAAATAGGAAACGTGGTATCGAAAGAAAGAGGTATTTTGGATTGAAAAACCCAGAAAAGAAATCAGAGACTAAAAGTTGCTGGGGTAAAGGTATAGAAACAGTGTCAAGAAAGCAAGAAAAGTAAGGAAAAGGTCACGAACACCACAAATTTCAGTTTAAATACTGAATATAATGGAGAGAGATAGTGTCCTCTTTTGTCAGAAATAAAAGAAGTAAAAAGGTTAAGTCAGGAGGGCGATGAAGCAAAATTAAAGCACAAGAGATACATGTTATAATTTGGAAAGGATTAAAGAGCAATGTGATTGACACCACATTACAACTAAAGGAAGGTCACAAACAGTGCACGACTATTTTGTTCCTCTTGAGTGGCAGGGCATGGCTTTGAGGCTAAATGTGAGCTTTGAGTGCCAGGTATTTTTTCACGCTGTCTAGCTGACTCAGACTTTGGGCTAATGAGTGATGGGTGCATTTTTCGACCCCTGAACATAGTAAGGGAAAAACACTCAATTAGCAATTGCTCTTTTAGCAGGAAAGTTTTTTAGGAATAACTCTTCAAAGATGCCAGTAACATGCCCATCATTAATTGATCTGATCCGTCCTTCCGGCAGAACACCTTGTATTTGTTTTCACCTGCTTGCTTTGTGTGGAGCATTCTGTTTGTGGGCAAAGAGAGACGCTGCTCAGTCCTCTGATTAGTTACAAGCAAGCACCCACACATTCAACAATTAAAAATAGCAGTTAATTCATTATGCACCATAATCAGGGATATAGTAAAACACTGACCAACAAATAAAGTATGCACTTCCAACCAGTATATTTTTGCAAAGGTATATAAACAAAGACTCATAAAATCCTCAAGTACTTCTCAGAAAAGTTTCTGTGATGGAAGCCGACTTACAGGTAAATGGCCATTCAGGGGAAAAAAAAAGTTTGTTTGTAGGCTTACCATTTCAAAATTTTACAAATGTATTTGACACTTTTTTGAAATTTTCATAGGAAATACAGTACTAGTATTCTCCCCTTAATTTCTCTGGCAAAGTGATATCTGAAATTAATACTGGAAGTCCCCGTAGAAACACTGTTATTTATGCAGATGTATTTTATTATGACAGAATCAGTTTAGCAGTCAATTCCAAAGCAGAAAATTAAAATTGTGGGATTCTCTTTTAAAAGGTTGAATTGGTAAGTAAGGAGCAAAATATCCTGTGGCTTACGTATAAAGATTAGGTAGCTAGCTGTGTTTTGCTCCTAAAGGTGTTGACCTTGCAACTTCAGTGTATCCAGTCTGAAATCTTCAGGAGGAATTACAAGTGATGACATGTTTATACTGAAGATTTGGATTTCAGTCAGACAGGCTGAGATGCAGCTCTGCACTTTGGGATCAACCCCTGGAAAGCAAAATGCACTCGGTATAGTTTAGGGATAATACTTTCAGGGAAAATGAGAGTGTCAGCATGTGTAACTTAGCAAATCTACCTACAGTAGTTTAAGAAGTTACTGTCCGTGCTGTCCTTTGCTGCTCTCTCGCACAGCTGCTTGCATGCCACACATCCATGTGTTTGTGTCCCTCAGACCTTTCTGTGCCTCAACTGGTAGCTTAGCTTGAATCTCCTGCAGCTCAATTAAACCAACAGATGTTGCATGGAGTAACTGAGACTTGTTTCTACATTCCCTTTCACCAGTTCTGCTTTGGGGCTTGAAGCAGCAGCAGATCCGTGCTAAAAACTAAAACCTGCTGCAATCATTGCTAAGTGAATGTCTCCAGTGAAATGCAGTAAGCCAAAGAAAAACAACAATCAAAAATGAATTACTTGTACATGGAAAGCTTGTGTCTTCTCCCTGCTCCATTCCCAAAGCATTTGTTAACTTTTTCCTGCTAACTTTTCCTCCTTCTCTCTTCTGTTGTTGTATGATGAGCCAAAAACTCCCAGAGATGCTCCACAATCATCATTCACAGCTCTTAAAATGCCTGGACCTATGTAGTTCTCTGGAATCATTCCTTTAAACTAACTTAGGATCCTTATAAAGATTCATACGCAAAGCATTAAGTTATGGCAGAAATGTTCTGCAAATATTTATATTACTTTGCTCCCTCGCTACCACCCGTCAAGTTGTGTACTTCTGCCATAATTATGTAAAATATGTTTCACTACTCAATTTACTGTAGGAAAACTAATAATAATTAAAAAAAAAAAGAGATTAGGGCTGTTACAAGAGTTCCTCTTATCTGTGCCAATACTTCATGCCAAGTGGAGTGAAGCAATGGCTAGCACGAATCCTCTACATTTCTGTGCTACAAAACTAACAGAAATAAATCTAATAATTATGCTGTCTTTGAATAAACACTGAACTCAAGATAACTCTGGACAAGTTTGCATATTATATAAAGGAATAATGTGAATAATATTATGAGCGTAACCTCAGAGGATGCCGAAGTATTACAGTCTCAAATCTGCTGATTATAGCTAAAATACACTTCCACATTTGGTTAATCTTCTTAATTTACCATGAGAAAACTAACACCACGTTGTCAACTAATTGTTTCAATACCTTAGTCTGCAAAGTCAAAATGAGAGAGGGAAAAAAAAAACCCAACCAACAACCACCCTTCAGAATGAGCTATTTTCCTTTTGGCTTTACATCAGTGTGCCCATTGAGACAGCCTGGAAGCTGGCCAACTTGCAGGAAATGATTGCTGGGATTCTCTGTTCCTCTCGTATCTGTCATTACACAATTATGTCCACTGCTTCATTTTCCCTACTGAACAGTAGAGAAATTTGGTCATGTACATGTGAGAACAGATCTAGCAAAACAAGTTAAAGCTGCAATCCTTTATAAATGTGATGTATCTGGAAAAAAAAAATTAAAAAAAATCCTCGAGTGTACA